CTTTTCTTTCTATTTTTCTGTTTTGTTTCCTAACAACACTATTTGCCCTTGTGAAGGCAAACTTGTCTTTTTGTACTCTCTCAAAAATCTCAGACGTTGCACAATCTTCAATTTCTTTCACTCCATTGGATGCAATTGCAGTATCAACTAGTTGCTGAATTTTCACAAATCTACGAAGCTTCATGTAGCCAAGCCCAATGTTATTTTGTCTTGTTTCAAGGAATCTTATAGATAGTTCTTATGCTCTAGTTCTATGTTACATGGGCTCTTCAAAATAAATCAAAGGGCTCTTCAAAAAATCAAATACCCGTTACGGACACCCTACACTTGGACAAAGGTATGGGACATGTGTCCAATACTTTACATCAAATATTTCTTATATATTTGTGTTTAAAATTATCATTATATATATTTATTGTTTTATAATTGCTATAAAATGAGTAAAATATCTTTTTGAAACTATATGTTACATATAACACTATTTTATGTCACATAACAGATTAAAAATATAAAAATATGACCACTTTTTGCTGAGTCCACACACCCTTAAATTTGAGATTTGATGGGTCCAACCCTCTGTTACCTGGAACGTAGATCGTTCCGGTACGTGGAATGGGAACGGAAACGGGGAACATGATACATCACATGCTCTAAAATGTAATACGATAGAAGTAGTCTTGTATATATCATGCTTAAAAAATTAAGTTACTTTAGAGTAATTTTCTTTTAACTATTAGGTATCCAAGAAATATAGTTTTTATTATTATTATTATTATTATTATTATTTCATGTAGCAAAATATTTCTATGAGCATTATGACTCATTTTTTTTATGTTTTTGTCCTGTCAACACTTAACTCACCTTAAATTATAGTTCATTATGTTTTATTTTTTCCTTCCTAACGTAACATTTAAAAAAATATATTAGTAAAATTTATGGGATCGTTTCGAATCACTAAATTTATCGTTTTGAAACGGAAGTGTACCATGTTTCAAAACGTGTGTACCAATACGTAATTCGCTAGGATATTAGCATTTTCTAATAACATAGGTCCAACCTTGAGATACACACCTGCACCTAACACCCATACCCAAGGAAAATTCTATTTCCACACATTTAAATACATCGGTGCACATTTTTTCTTAGTACACACACTTATTAATTCAATTATTAATTAATTTTCTCAATCCACACATTAGTTACAATTATACCCTTTACTCGTAACCATTGTACACACACCACTCAACCCTCCGTTCCACACACTTGTTGAGTAACCCTACTTCCAGATTTGTACCCTATTAAACCTCTATTGAAAACACCATTGAAAACCTCCAAAATATTGTTGAAGATGAGGCATCTTTCCATTTTGTTATAATATTTACCATTTTGTTATTACATTTACCATTTCCAGATCTCTGTGCACCCCATTGCCATAAAACCTTTTTTTTTTTTTTTTTTTTTTAATGCTTTCGATTCGGAGATTTCGGCATTGGTTTTCCAAACTATACATTTAATTCAGAACTTAACTTCTGAATAAAAGTGATTCATTCGACAAATTTGTTACAAAAAAATAAAAAATACTTTCGACAGTCGATGTCCAAATATAATGAAATAATTTAGCAATTGATGTCTAATGATGAAATAATTTGGCACTGGTTGTCCGACTGAAAACCGCGAAACGAAAAAAAAAAAAAAAATTCTACACGAAAAACTAACCCTTTCATCATTGATTTTGATGTCACCAAACATATTTTTACTTGAGTTTGAACTTGCATTGGTTTGCAACTCTTCCATAACAACATCAAGCAAAAATTGTGGAACTAATAAGAAAACGATATAAATAATAGAGTATAAACCTAAAGATTAAAGCAATATGAAAGTTGTTATGAGAGTATTGCTTTACAAGCAATAGATAAGTATAGAGTGTGTAGCAAGCAAAGTGACAACAATGGAAAAACTGTGGCTCTGTCTGGTGTGGAGTTCTAATCATGACTCCACACCCATGTTTGAGTGTGGTGTTTGGATACAACTTTCAAAAATTAATTTCATACTCACTTTTGAAAACTCGTTCCAAGCGGGGTTTTGAATTTTGAAATTTGACCTACCCGGTCGTCCTCCTGAACGTTCGGCCGATTGACCGAAACAGTGCTATTTATTTTTTTAGGGGAGGGGGGGGGGCACCTGTTATTTTTTATATTTTAAATAAAAAATATTCTCAGAATTTTTTAAATCTTTTATGTGCTTTGAATAGAATTTTGAGTTGTGTGTTTGGTTATGAGTTGTAAGTTTTTTAATCAAATATCATGTCATATCAAAAATTCAAAACCCTTTTCAAAATTCATAATCAAAAAAAATTTCCATACTCAAATCATAATTCCAAAACTAATAAACTCAAAATGCAACTCTATTCTCAAATCATAATTCTAAAATTCTACCAAACACTACCAATGGTTATTATTTTATTTTTTTTACTCAAAAGGTATACATTGAGATTTTTTTTTTTTAAAAAAAAAAGATGTGTACAGAGAATATTTTCATATAATATTTATGGGTGTTGGTGGATGTCCATTATGGTCATTTTAGTTTAGGGTATAATTACTATTAAAATAATATTTCATTAAGTGTTTGCACTGAAGTAACTAAGTGGGTTGGCTTTTTGACTTTTTGGCTTTTTTGGCTATTTTAGCCTGGGCTTAAAAGCTTGGTTTGGGAAGGGCTTTTTGGCTTTTTAACTTTTTTGAGTTTTTTTGTGAGAGAAGAATGTAATGATTATGGGTTGGATGTGATGTTTTGTTTGTTATGGCTAAAATAGCCTATTTTGTTTTTTGTGGCTAAAATAGCCAAAAAAGCCTCCAACCTCACTTGCCAAACAGAGGCTAAGTGTGTGGAAAATAGAATTAGAAGCCACACAAGGCAATTAGAACAACATTTTAGTTTCTTTCTTACTTTCTTTCTTGGTTGTAGAGCAATTTTTGTTGGTTGGTTGATTGTTGAGCTAGCAAAAGGAATGCTTGGCTTCAGCGTACTCACAACAGGCTTTATCACTCTTGCCGAAATGTGTTTTCATTTTTATTATCACTTTCAAATATATACTTCTTCCAATTGCCAATTTAAAAAAATTCATATATAGTTACAGTTTTCTAGATAAGATTTTTCCCCCACTCAACAAAAATTCAGGCTCTGCCCCTTGTTGAGTCGCTACATATAGTTACTATTCAAGAGGAGTTGAAAACTTCATCAGGAGGAACTGTAGAAAGGTCCAAAAAAACCAGTTTAGTGTTGGATCAAAATGCTTTTTTTCCCTTGGAAAGGCATTTGGTATACAGGACTAAATCCTAAGGTAAACCTTTTTTGCTTGGATGGCAAACATATTTGGTATTTTGGTGCGGAGGTAATATAACTAATTGATTTTAGACATCCAAGAAACCAGCAGGGAGTGCAACCATTTATTTCTTCATTGTAAGGTTGCAGGTGGCGTTTCAGATCTTCTTTCCTCCCTTTTCAAAGTGGCATAAGCATGTTGGTGTCTGTTAATGGAATGCTAGAGAGTTGGACAGGTAGTGATAGGCAGTGTTAAGAAAGTGCAAGATGTAGACTTGAAATAATTGATGTTGGATTTATTTTATTGCTAGCTTTTATGGCCATTCATTCCACTGTATATGCATTCCCTTTTATATATGTAAAAATGCATATCCATTGTACATGCAATCATTTATAGACTATTAAGATAATGTGCCGGTTTCTTCGGCCATAGATTATCTTATTATGTATCCAACATTTTCAGTTGTTACCAAATCCAATTATCTGCTTATAAAAATTCTCAACGAATTCATCATGTATACCAGTTTTGTGGATATATAATAAATGGATATATAACATATGTAACACAATAGAGAAACATACTCCCACCAAAAAGAAGGGAGGAAAAAAAAAAGCTTGTAATCACAGAAAATTAATAGTAACTCAATAGTCTAATAATTGAAACCTCGTTAGCAGTAAAGGAATTTACCGAGAGATCATGTGCAACATGAGAAATGCTATTGATCCACATAATAGCAATAAACATATTTTAAGCTCAACTCACATTACGTCACCAGATGAATAAAGAACTAGATTCAGAAACTTCACAAAACAGGCTACCTGAACAAATTAGTTAATAGCTTCATATTTGCTACTCTAAAAAAAGTGCAAAAGCTAGAGGTAACATTGGGGCATTAATTTCATCTGATAGTTTTGAGATATGACTGGGAATTTCTTTTAGTGTGCTGAATATATGCTAAAAGCCAAGAATACATTTAAAAATCAGTGTCAATTTTTGTCAAGAAAACAAGTCCAGAAAAGAACCAAAATTTAGGTAGCAATAAATATGTATATGTTATGTAATGTTCTTAATGGATAATAAACTTCGAATGGGAAATAAATTTTAAGAATAAATAAATAAATAACTAGAAGGGAGGAAAAAAAAAGAACGCAATAATTCTCCCCCCAAATTCAAGTTTGGCACAGAAAAGTTTCATGTTGCCATGATGTCAACCACAAAACCATTTCCTTAGCTCTGACGCAAGATTTTGCTGAAGTTGATACAGATAGGAAGGCATCTCTGAGTTTCTTCCCCACAAAAATAGAGATTGAGAGAACGAAAAAAGCTTTGGAAGCCACACTTGTCTATCATCAACAGTTCAATTCACCAAAGCATTTAGTGATGATGCACCAATAAGAGCCCTAGACCTAAGCTTATACCCCCGACTTCTAAAAGATAATCAAACATCAATGACAGACACAACAGCGGGCTTAAACCACAGAGGAACCACAAGGATACTGACTAGGCCAATGGCGGTACTAGTGAATCTAGTTATAGCTATCAATAAGTCAGTGAAGCATATCAGATAGAGTTGGATTTCTTTAGTTTCATGGAGCACATGCACATCATAGATCCAACAGGTGAGCAACTAAGCTTCATTAATTAACTTATTATATTTACTCGTCAAAATTTATAAAATTATATTAATATTTGTTTAATCTCCCTTTAACTAAAGTTGATAGTTTGAAGTTCCCATTACACATCAAGAAAATTAATCATATTATTTTGTGGAAATTACACTTGCACTGATTTGGAGAGGGATTTGGAAATGGGAAGGAAAAATGTGTGAAAAGTGTGAAATGTAGTTATATTTCATCCACATTTCACCTGGCTTTTCCCTTTCCATTTCCAAATCTCTCCTCAAATCTATGAACCAAACACAGCCTTAAGTTGATATTTGAAAAATTATTTACAAATTAATGATAAACATTATAAATATTAAAAAGTAAAATTATAAATTTTTTCATCATTTTATAATTTATTTTAAAAAAACTCACTGACACATGATTCTCCCTATTATTTTTGTTCTCCTTTAAAGTTTCAAGTTTCTATACTTTCAATAAGCCATTTATTCATCATCCAAGGAGTATGTGACAAATAGATGTGAATATCATAGTTGTCAAATTGTGAATCGTATAATGAATCAAAATCTTAATTTTGCAAATCGTGAATCAAATCAAATAGAGAATTGTTAAGAATCATTACAAACTATAAAAAATGATGTTAAACAATCATATATATGAAAAAAAATAAATAAAATAAAAAACTGATACATATTATACAATAATTCTTATATAAGGACATGATTACACCATCTAATTGGAAATACATTGCCTTCATAACTAAGGGTTATGGGTCCAAATCCAACCCACCAATCATAAAATTATTCAAAAATCATAATATAATCTCCTGTGACATTCAAAAAATAGACCTAGGATTCTAGGAACCTTATATAGAGTATAATAATAAGAAATAATTAAGTAAAATTCTTTATTTTAAAACTTAAGAAGAATCCTTTATCCTAAAACCTAAAATGTTTTAAGAGATGTATATGTTTATCGTTCAAAAGCAGTCGTGGGACCATTGATTTGAACTACCTGGCCCATGTAATATTGAATTTAAACTATTTATTTTATTAAAATAGCAATAGATAATTCAGGTGAGTAAGTTATTTTAACATTAAACATCCATGTACTAAGATATTTTTGTTTCAAGAGAAAAATAAAGAAAAATGGTTAATGACACCTATGTTACATGGACTCAGGTACGGGTGTCGGTGCGGGTATGTATTTAGATGTTGGACTCATCAAGCAATAAATTTAAGGGTACACGGACTCAGCAAAAAAATGTCATATTTTTATAATTTTAATGAAGTATGTGTGATAAAATTGTACTATATGTAGCTTACAATGTCAAAAAGACATTTATAGCAATTATATAACAACATGTAGATATAATAATAGTGTTTTATACAATTATATAAGAAGTATCCGTTAAAAAAAATCCGACACATGTCCTATACCCTTGTCCGAGTGTCAAGTGTTCGACACGGGTATTTGATTTATTTTGAAAAGTCCGTATACACATAGAATGACACATTGGGTCTAACTAGATCTGATTGATTGAATCCAATTAAAAACTACTTGATCATCAAATGATAACCATGCATACACACCGGTTATTTTTGTACTAAACAGTCCTAGAAGTTGTATGTCATTTCACTAATAGTTAGAATCTATCAGACACAATAATTCAAGAATTGCATGTATCGTACAAAAATGTATTGATGGTAAATCATGCGATTCACTATATATTCTAACCCAAAATAGATTCACTCATAGTTTTGTATCGATTTATGCATGAATTTAAGATTTTAATAATAGAAACTATACACAGAATAGAACGCTAGTCAATCATAATACTCCTATATTTTACTAAGTTAAAACTGGAATATTTTATGGATAAGCATATTTATAAAGTACGGACCTTGTGTTTCAGTCTCCGAAGTACAAATGGTCGCAGAACTTGGTGAAGACGGTTTATAATCAGAAGGTTCTCCTCCTCAGACAGTAAGGCCTAATGATAAGCATTGACATTGATATCATTTTTTTACAAATGGACATAATCAAGAATAAGAAAGAAGAGTGAACAGCATCAATGTCTTAAAAACAAGATAAAATCAAAGCTTACTTGATCAGGTGAATTATCACCATTGCTCTCAAATGGTTTGTTGAACCATTGAGAAAAATCCTCTGAAGAGTTAAAAATATTTGGCAACAAGAAATTAAGTAGTGCCCACAATTCCTCGAGGTTATTCTACATAAACAAAAATACGCCATTAGTCAGTAAACTATATCAATAGAAGTGAAGGGCAATTAAGTAGGAAAAATATTAAGTCAACACACAGTGAAGGAAATTTAGGTCCTGATTGGTACCATTCAAGTAATTGTTTGCTGTTGGGAAAAATAGAAAATGAGTATAAATGAAGAACACAGTCGTCAAGGCATGTCCACAAAACTGTTTCGGTATGAAAAGGACCAATCTTCAAGAAACTAATGAAAATAGTTTCAGCAGTTTTCAAAACTTCAGTCTACTAGAAAATAAAAGTAACCCAAACACATTTGTCTTCAAATCTTGAACTGTCTAAAAATTTTGAATACTGAAACCAAAAAGAAAAGCAAAGGAAAATTGCACCAAACAGACCCTTATAGCTCTTAAGTAGATGCATAATAAATGGATCGAAACTAAAAATAAAAAAACAAGGAAAACCAAAAAAAAACATATGCTGCCAGACCTGCAGAGGTGTCCCTGTCAACAGCAACCTGTGGGAGCTAATATAGTGCTTCAAGTCAGCATTCAACTTGCAAGAAGCATTCTTTATACGATGGCCTTCATCAATTATAATATAATGCCAGTGTAACTTGCTTAATTTCGGCCTATCATGCTTGTTCATCAGATACTCATACGTTGTCAAGAGGACATTGAATTTCTGTTGAACAATTCTTTCCCTGCAATGTCAAAATCATATGATAAGTCCTTCAGATGATAATTACCCCAAAAAAAGAAATTTTAAAATATATAAATTAAAGAATTTGTTTAATGTCCTTATGCCATACTTGAATAGCCTTCGCCGCTCCTCCGGAGGCCCAGAATAGATAATTTTGTTTACACTAGGGGCCCAAAAGTTAAGTTCTGACTCCCATCCAGGTAGAACTGAGGATGGGACTACAACTAAAAAGGGTCCTCTGTCATTTTTAGTTTCCATTAGGTAACAAATTAGAGCAATAACCTACAAAAAAGCAAATTGTCAGGTTTCGCAATCTATATAAAACTTGGACACTGCATAATAAGAAAACTAGTACAGGTCAGATTATATCATTTTCCACACCAAATCATACCTGAACAGTTTTACCAAGACCCATTTCATCTGCAAGAATCCCATTCAAATGGTTATTGTACAGCGAAAGCAACCATCGTAGTCCATTCATTTGGTACCTGGATTAGAACAACTACATTTATACAGAAACTCAAACACAGAATGAAAACAAAGGTCTTTCTCCTTATTTCATGTCCACATGTCACAAATTGTCCCCAAAAGTAACAGCAGGAAAATAGAAAGGGAAGCTTCAAAAGAAAGAAGTCAAACACTTTAAGAAAGAGTTCCATTTAGTGCCCGAAAAATGCAAATGTGCTTACTCTCTTAGCTTTCCACCCACAAGACAAGTTGGCTGATCAGCTATGCTCTCTTTTATGCTGCAAGGGACAATGCCAACAATAAAATATTTGGAAATAGCATTGTTAACAATGTTATTAACAAGAAGTTTGTCATGAACAATATTAATTTTGAAAGATAAAATCGTATATCCACTCCTAAAGCCAGACATCAAAACTCTTAAAGGAGCTTAAAAACAGGGGAAGAAGAAGCCAGACACATCACAAGATTGAAACGACCAAATCTTAAGCAGCAAACAATATGACAAACACTTACAAGGAGAAGATGGAGAAGTAAAATACCTGTGTGCCATCAGATAGTACTTTTCATTGCTTTCCAAATAATGCTGGAAAAACAGATGACAGAAAAAAAGTTAAGCAAGAAAATTAGACTGAAATATAGAAAGGACACAAACTACAATGAACAACTTGCCTTTGCTTGGTCAGCTTCATCTTCGTTTTCAACAATTTCATAGTTCTCAACAACACTTCCAGCTCGGTTCTCACCCATGTCAGTCTCAAAATGTCCTGCCACATCCTTTGCCTCTTTTAGTTTCGACCCTAGTTTTTGAAGATATTTCTCAGTCTCCTTCAGCAGCTGCTTAACACGGTCTGATTTTGCATCCTATGGAATTAACAAAAAAGATTACGTATGATAATAGAAGCAGAATGGCACCATCAAGTCAACGAAAGCTAATAAGCCAGACAGACCTGAACCATTCGAAGGTACCCCTCCACATCGTTGATTTTCAACAGATTAATCTTCTCACGCTGGATTCTATCAATTTTCTCGCGATGAATCCGTTCCTTTCTCTTATGGAACTCTCTTATGTATTTATTGAAACCCTTCCAGCGTTCTCTCTTCATTTTGAATGCATCATCCAGTCTCTCCCTAAAGTTAGGTTACCAAGCAGAGTCATTATTCATGAAATTTTTTTCAAAATATCTACTAACTGAATTAAAAATAACAAGAGAGATATTTTTATGAATTCAAGAGACATTAGAATCCATACCTGTGAACTTCTATCTCACTGAAGAACTCCTTCTGCCTCTCACGAATTCTCTTTTGGCGCTCTTCCTTCATTTTCTGCTCAAATCTTTCAATTTGTTTTGATCTCCTACCTATTCTATGCTTCTTGGCTGATTTCAAACGATCCATCTCGGTTACTATTGGTTTGAAGAAATCATTTAGAATATCGCTGCTCAAATAAAATAATCGTAATATCAGAATAGCAAATGTACAAGTAAAATGAAGTACCAATGGAGACCAAGTTAAAGTAGGCATTAATTGGAATGGTATAGAAACATTGATGTGTCAACTTGAACCGAAGCAGAAAGATAATTTACCCACGGAGACGGCGCTGAAGTTCCAACAGTTGAAGCTTTTTCAGTTCAATGACGCTTTTAGTTTTTGCAGAAATATCTTCAGATGAGCTCACAGTTTCCTACAGAAGTGTCAAAAAGCAAACAGTAATGCACATGTCACACAAAAAGTAAAACAATACAACCCTACTATACAACGCATCTTCTTCAAAAGTATTTTATGTAATAACAAATTAAGGAAGAAAAAAGAAGGCACAAAGTGGAAAACTGTTGGCGGTAAGCAGTTAAAAACAAAACTAGTAAACAAGATGGAAACGAGGAAACCCATTATATGGGCTGCATCAGATTAAATTGAAATTAATAATGGCACAGGTGAAGTAGAAACAAATTATCAAGTCCAAACAAATAAGAATGAAGTCACATCATTTTCAAAACGTAACTAGTAAACAAGATGGAAATGAGGAAGCCCATTATCAAAAATAATAATGGCACAAGTTAAGTAGAAGCAAATTATCATGTCCAAATAAGAATGAAATCACATCATTTCCTTCATAATTATAAATTCATAAGGTCTTGGCTTCGGCTAAAGTTGCCACATTTTGTGATAAAAGATCTTTACTGATAATTGTGTGGTGCTCGCTTAGTCAAATATTAGTAGTTTGATGTGATAAAAATAATTTAAAAATTATAACTTGATCTTTAGGCAAGTGTGAAAGTGCATGTAAACAAATAAGACATTTCTCAACATTAACACTGCAAAAATGGAGGATATATCAAAAGAGCTACTACAGGTATCCAAGGTCTAGGGTTTAATGCAACACAGGAACTACTACAAGTGAAGGAAAAGAAAAGCAAACTCAGCATCCCAGATATTAATACATTATAAGCAAGTTTATACAATTAGTCAGTAGATTTATTTGTCTCAGGACAAATTAATTCTAAAGTCTCAATGATGGGCACATCATATTCTCAGCTGTTATCTAGAACCAAAAATTATATTCAAACCAATCTATTTTCAGAAAGAGGAAAACAACATCACTCATATAAATCTAATAACATAACATGTCACGTCCAGTGGAGTAGGAAGATATTCTCAAGATCATATATTACAAGTCAGCACCCTTCCTGAATCGAGTACATATATCACAAAATCCTCCCAAACCTCACAAGTTTGGCATAACGCTCTATATCACCCATGTACAAGTCTATCATTAGGGAAGTTAACTAATAACAACTGCTAAAAAAAACTATGGCCTTGTTTGGTTTGCTTTTGAGAAATAAATTTTAGAGAAAATTTTCCAAAATTTTGTTTGATTTAGTGATTTTGGGAAAAAAATTTCTAAAATCACTCTCTCTCCTATACATCAATCAATCACTTTTTCTCTCACACACATCTACTCAATTACAACAAAACATCAAATTATCCCAAACTCCCATATTCCAAAACTATTTCCAAAATATACAACCAAACAAAAAAAAAAAATTTCTAAACTCTCTCCCCCAAAATCTTTTTTGAAAATTTATCTCCAATACCAAACCAAACACACCCTATGTTCCCTGACAAATTCACCAAGCAAGTTTCCATCAAATTCTTGCTCAACTGACCAATAAGGACCTTTCTCTCAGGCATTCATTCCCCAGGAACAGCCTTTTTGTCGGGGACAAAAGCCCAAACCACAAACTAGTCAAGATCGTGGCAACACGAGAAACTGGTAGTATATCATCCTAAGCAATTAAACAAAGCTCTTCAACTGACACAAGTGCATTATGTAAAAAAGTCAGCAAAATCCATTTTACTCCCTTGTTGTATGGCTCTCGAGCACTTTATCCCTATCTTCTACAAATAGCCAATTCCATTGACTTTGTAAGTAATATACCCTTGGTCCTTGACCACTACCTCAACAACCATTTCCATTTTTCCAACCATTTTCTACCACCTAGGGGTGGGAATTGACGCGTGCCCTATTGACACGACTCAAACCGTACACGTATTTAGAGGGTTAGGGTTGGTCATTTTTTGACACAAACACAAATATGACACGACCCGAAAACATGAATATTAAATGGATTGTGTTAGGGTTGAACACGTGTAACTCAAACATGAGTCACGACCAATATGACTCGTGTAAAAATCAGCTTTGACATGTGGACACAAAGCCACTATTGACCCGCAAGTAACCCAAATGTAACTTGAATCTAGTAGCCACAAAATCTTAAATATTTCATTCTCATCCATTGAATTACACTTTGGTATTAGAAGAAAACTTGTTTGTTTTTGAAGTTTTGTTGGATGTTTGGATATTAATGGGTGTTAGTAGTTCAGATTGGATGCATGCTAGATTATTTATGAATCTTTTGATTTATTTTCATGAATATTGGCATATATATTATCTTTGTGAGTGTTATTGTTTAAACAAGTTACCCTTATGCATGTGATGATCAGATTGGCATATATATTATCTTTTGGTTTTTTTTATTTTTTTTTATAGTTATACATATATATATATATATATTGGGGCACATATTTACACTAGATATGTACATATATTACATATATAAACTATAATGTATATATAACTGATCATCAAGCAGTGAATATTAAAGAAATTCCACAAACCAGTTGGGTTCTTCACAACACGCATGGTGGTTAAAGCTTGACTAGGTTTAGTTAGGAGGGTTATTAGGAATCTACATTTCTAGCTTTAGGATTTGTTGGTGGTTAAAGTATGGCGAATGATAAAGCTTTGTGAATTAACATAACCGATTGGCTATGATGCACTTCACATGCCGTGGTTTGAGAGTGGCACAATGTATATATATGCAGGCGGAACAGGTGGCGGAGGAGGGAGGACAAAGGGGGTGACAGGGGATTGTTGAATATAGGAATCAAAATATTATATTTGAATATGCAAATTGTAATAGAAATTAGAATAGGAATTATTTTGATTGTAGGAATCTTGTCTTGGGTGTATTGTTTCCTAAATTGTATCATGAATATATTATATATACATGGCCTCTACCCAATTGATTGGTAAGTCAAATAATTCTTTTCATTCTTTTTGGTATCAGAGCCTCCCTAGTTGTCTCTCGCTCAACCACCCATCACCACCGGTTGCCTTCTTTCTTCTCTCTAGCCTCCGACAGCCCTTCCCAGCTCTTTTTCTCCCTTCGACAGACTCAGCCCAGCCTTCTTTCAGCCTCCGATAGCCCTTCCCAGCCTTCACTAGCCTTCGACAACCCTTTCCAACTCCTTTTCTCCCTCCGACAGCCTCAACCTAGCCTCTGCAGCCCCTCTCCTTCCTTGTCTTCACCTCGGCAGGCCTTCTTTATCCCTGTCGAGGCTCTAGTTGCTGCCGACCAAACCTAGTTCTGATCTTACGTACTTCGGCTACCTCTTTAGGTGGTCCGTGGTTGTTTTTTTTTTTTTTTCGTTCTTCGGATGATTGGACTGATGTATTAAGCCCCTTTGTCTGTCTTTTTATTCTTTTACGCTACTAGGATTATTTGGTAGCATCTATTTGGATAAGCCGTTGAGTTTTTTCCGACTTCTTATATTTTCTTGAATTGTGTTACTATCTGTGTGTTTTTAGTCCCTCTTCTCCTACCATGACTGATCCATCCTTTGCTAATGTACCCACCAAGCCTGTCCCAAGTAGTTCTGATTTTTCTCTTTCTTATCACACTCATGTTCATCGTATTACGAGTGTGGTGTTGAATGGGAAAAATTTTGCAGCCTAGAACCACTCCCTTAAACTCTATTCAAGGGGCAAGGGAAACGCTTATTGGCTTTTATCTTCCACTACCCAACCTGCTGCAATAGATCCTACCCATGCATAGTGGGATATTGATAACTGTACTACTTTGGAATCGATGTTCAACTCCATGGAAGATCGTATTTATCACATATTTCTCTATTGCGACACAGTTCATGGTCTATGGCATGCCTTGTCACATGTATTTGCTCATGCTCATAACGATGCTCGCATCTTTAAGCTCTATAAAAACATTGCTCGTGCTTCCCAATCTACCTTGAGTCTTTCTGTGTCAGAATTCTTTGGATACCTTCAAGCCCGTTAGGAAGAATTGGCTCAATATAAGCCCTTGACTGAGTTACCAGCAAATGTTGCCTCTATTGTGTTCAATCGCCTTGCTCACCAGTACACTTACCAGTTTCTGATGGGTTTAAACTCTGAATTTGAATCCCTTCGAACTCAGACTTTAAACACATCACCCATGCCCTCTCTTTATGAGGCCTTTGCCACCATTGATAGTGATGAGCATCGTAGGCGTTTGGTTCAACCAAATCCTTCTCCCTTATCTCCAGTTTCATCTAATCAGATGGCTATTGTTGCAAAGTCTGGTTCTCAAGTTTCTACTGGTCCAATTACTTGTCATCATTGTGGCGCTTCTGGTCATATTAAGGTGTTAGAATTTCCCATCTTTACCTTCACCTACTCCACTACACACTCCACTTCACCTACCTCTACTCCACTACACACTCCACTTCACCTAACCCACTATCACCTCCACTACACCTACTACCACATTTTCTTCTATATATAGATTGTATAGGAATTGTAATTAATGAATCTTGTAATCTATCAATCAAGACATCAATCAATAATACATAAATTCTTACATAAGGCTCGTTGCTTCAAATTTCATCCTGAGTTGAGGCAACATTGCTCGCACCCTCGTGGTGCTAGCACCCCTCGCACTACGGCTCTAGTGGATTCCGCTACTCCTGCTCCTGGGTCTCCTCATCTCCATAATTTACAGGAGTTACAAACACAGATTGGTCAGCTTCAGGCTTAGCTTGGATCTCTTTCTCATGGCCCATCATCTACCACTATTGCTACCCTTGCAACAGGTACTTTGCTTTTCATGTTCAGTCTACTAGTCCCTCGGTCTACTAGTCCTTCATGGGTTTCGGATTATGAGGCTAGTAATCATAAGACAGGTGAGTTTTCCTTTCTTTCTTCGCCAGTCCCTACTACTATTGCCCAATCTGTGCGTCTTGTTGATGGTTCGTTATCCTCTGTTCGTCATAAAGGAGTCGTATCTTTATCCCCTACCATTGCTTTATCATCTGTCTTACATGTTCCAAATTTTGCATATAATCTCTTATCCATTAGTCATCTTGCCAAGCAATTTAACTGTACTGTCATCTTCGTACCCTCTTCTTGCCTTTTATAGGACTTGAGTTCGAAGAGGATTTTGGACAAGGACTATGAGCGTGATAGGCCATGAGTGTGATGGGTACTACTTTGAGGATCCACCAGACGAGCCTTCCTCTTCTTCCTTAGCTAGATTTCAAACCTCTGTTTTGCCTGCTTCCATGTCTTGTGTTTTTAATATTTAGTCTTTAGAATTATTGCACGCTCGTATGGGTCATATTAATTTTCAGTATTTATATCAATTTTTTCCTTCATTTAATAAAGCTTGCAAAGATTTTAAGTTTCATTGTGTGGTTTGTGAGTTGTCTACGCATACCCATTCTAGCTACATCCCTTATATGACTCATGCTCCTAATGCTTTTAATCTTGTACATTCTGATGTCTGGGACCCTTCCCCTGTCACCACTTTTTTTTATCATAGATATTATGTGACTTTTATTGATGATCACACTAGATGCACTTGGGTTTATCTACTTCGTCGTAAGTCTAACGTATTTTCCATTTTTGTCTAATTTTTACAGATGGTTAAAACTTAGTTTCATACAGTTGTTAGGACTATCCGTTCTGATAATGATGGGGAATATATTTCTAATGCATTTCGTTCCCATCTTAATCAAATCGGTATTCTTCAACAACTTACTTGTCCTCGGATCCCTGAGCAAAATAGTGTTGTTAAACGCAAAAAACATATTATGTCTATTGTCCGGTGTCTTTTTCGGGATATGGGTGTTCCCAAGTCTTATTGGCATATGATTGTCGTCACTGTTGTTTACCTCATAAATAGGACCCTTAGTCGTGTGTTGTATGATCTCACTCCATTTCATATCCTTATACCCACTACCACTCTGTTTCCACTCTTACCTCGTGTCTTTGGGTGCATCTGTTTTGTTCAAAATCGAAGTCCCACTCGCACAAAATTAGATGACAAATTTATTCGTTGTATCTTCTTAGGGTACTCTTCCATATCTAAAGGGTATAGGTGTTATGACACTGTATCTCGTCACTTTCACCACACTTTGGATGTTAGGTTTTGTGAGAATCTTCCTTTCTTTGGTACTAACCTTTCTTTACAGGCTTCTCCTCCTGTTACTTCCATTGTTCACCCGATGACCATTTTAGACGAGGTTGAAAATGAGATTGTCCCCCTGTCTCCTTCTCAACCTTGCCGCCTCCCCCATTGCAAGTATACTCCCGTTGCCCACGCATTCAACCCCCCAACCTTCGCCTCCTTCCCCATTGCAAGTATACTCCCGTCGCCCACGTACTCAGCCCCTCCTGTCGTTTTTGCTGATCTTTGGGTCAAGTAACTTTTCTCCTTTAGCTCCTCCTCCACCTCCTTGTCCTAACCCACATCGGGATCGACATCCTCCAAATCGTTTGAGTTATTTGAGTAGCACTAATCATCCTATTTCCCAGTATCTTTCCTACGACAGGATTTCCCCTTCTTACCATTCTTTTCTTGGCAAGCTTGAGTCGGGGTCCATTCCTCGTGTGTCTGAGGCCTTTCAGAATCCCAAATGGATAGTGGCCATGCAGACTGAGATGGCGGCTTTAGAACAGAATCACACTTGTAATCTTGTACATTTACCTCCTAGATAAAGCACGGTTGGTTGCAAATGGGTGTTCATTATAAAATACCTCGTTAATGGCTCAGTTGACCGTTACAAAGCCCACTTGGTGGCCAATGGTTTCACACAGATTCCTAGCAAGGATTTTGGTGCCACTTTGCCCCTGTTGCCAAGCTTACTTCTGTACGTCTCCTTATTTCCCTTGCAACATCTCATTCTTGGCATTTTCATCACCTTGATGTCAAGAATGCATTTCTCCATGAGGATCTTCTTGAGACGATTTACATGGCTCCTCCATCCGGTTTTCGGGTTGAGGGGGAGTATTCGGAAAAAGTGTGCCAGATATGCAAATCCTTGTATGATATAAAACAACCTTCATGAGCATAGTTTAATCGCTTCAGTTCTGTTATTATATCTATGGGCTTTGTTCAGTGCCACTCCGATCACACTTGTCTCATTCGCCAAAATTCTACAGGTCAGTGTCTAGTCTTGTTAGTTTATATAGATGATATTATTCTCACAGGTAATAACTCTGTTGGCATTGGTCAAGTAAAGAAGGACTAGGGCCAAACTTTTGATATTAAGGATCTGAGATGTCTCAAATATTTTCTGACAATTGAGGTGGTTCGCACAAGGAAGGGGATCTCCTTGTCTAAAAGAAAGCACACCTTCGACTTAGTTCAGGATACAAGTATGTTAGGGTGTAAACATACTTCTACTCCTATGGATCCTAATATCAAACTCACATCAGAGTCTGATGTGTTGCTGGATGACCCAAGCAGGCATGTATCAGCGTCTTGTTGGACGTCTCATTTATTTGACCAACACTAGACCCAACTTAACATTTGCAGTTAGTGTTATGAATCAGCTCATACATGCACCTAGTAAAGAGCACCTTGACGCGGTTCATCATATTTTGAGGTATTTGAAGATTTCTCCTGGCTTGGGATTGTTCTTTACCATTGGTCTCCAATCTGAACTCTCTTGTTTCACCGATGCCGACTACGTAGGATCTAGGACTGATTGACGTTCCGCTTCTGGCTTCTGTACTTTCTATGGTGATCATCTTATCTCATGGAAAAGTAAGAAGCAGGCAGTTGTTTCTAGGTCTTCTACAGAGGGTGAGTATCGGGCTATGGCACATGGGACATGTGAGATTCTTTGGATTCACTCTATTCTGGCAGAGTTGGGTTTTGAGGAGATTGTTCCTTCTTTATTTTGTGATAACAAATCTGCTATTATGTTACCCTCTAATTCTGTGCTTATGAGCATACCAAGCATATTGAGTTTGACATACATTTCATTCGAAAAAAGGTTCGGACTGGTATTGTGCGTCCATCCTTTGTCTCTTCTTCTCAGCAGTTGGCAAATATGTTCACAAAATCCGTGAGACCAGCTTTGCTCCAGTCTTCCATTGATAAACTGCGTTTGTTGAATATCTTCACGCTAGCTTGAGGGGGAGTGTTGAATATAGGAATCAATTATTATGTTTGAATATGGAAATTAGAATAGGAATTATTTTGATTGTAAGAATCTTGCCTTGTGTACATTTTTTCCTAAATTGTATCATGAATATATTATATATACACGGCCTCTACCTTATTGATTGGTAAGCCAAATAATTCTTTCCATTCTTTTGGGATATAGGGAAGGTGGTTGGTGAGGTCGCTAGTTGTGGGTGGGAGGGGTGGGTAGTTTAGGATTAGGTTTTTTTGGATAGAAGATGAAGACAATGGTGATCTTGTCTTTTCACAAGAAAATTACACTTCGACAAAATTTCTTCATCTTCCCAACACTAAGAACAGGGGAGTGAGCCACAAATTCTGTCGGTTTGAACAGAAAATGTAATCGTAGAACTTTAGTACAAAATCACATGTGGTGTAACTGACTAATTTTAAAAGATGGGGATAAAGTGCCCCAAGCATATACCGTAGGGGGTAAAGTGGATTTTTCCTTGAAGCTAAAGGACTCCACCAAAAGTGAGTGCTCCTATAAAATCTACAAAGAAAACAAAATTCACAAAATTTTCCTTTATGCCAAAAATGAAAGTTCTCAAGTATAAACAACTTTATCAATGTGCTGTCAACTCTATTTCCTCAAATGTACGCAGATTCCACTCCCTCAGCACACTAGACCACGAGCACATAGACGACGCCACCTCCAAGCCTTTCACAGCATCCTTTGATTGACACTCACTTGCCCAAGACTAATATAACATGCAGACAGAAGTCTGTATAGCCCAAAAAATGCCAACGATGGAAAAAAGCAAAACAAAATGGCCAAATAAAAGCATAAGGAACAAAGAGAAAAGAAAACACAATCACCACGGATGTTTGTTTAACTACAGACAAATAACCCATGACCAGGTAAACAAAAGGTTGTCACCATCACAAACCTTTAATTTTTCAGAACAAGCGGCAATTTTTTGTTCCGTCTTTTGCTGTTTTACTGCCCAATTTTGCTCAATTAAGAATCTCCTCTTCTTCTGTTCCATAACCCACTTCTCTAATGTCGTATACTTTGGAGATGGTGGCAAATCTGTACATAAAGAGATATCTTCCTCCTCTTGGTCAGTTTCCACTACTGCAGGACTGCCATTTTTTTGCATGTCATCAACAAGAACAGCTTTGCATCCATCTGGAATGCCTCTTCTCTGAATCTCAGAGATTTTTCGATCATCTGGCCAACATATGTAACAAGCAGCATCCATAAGCAACAGAAAAGTCAGTAATAAAAAGCATAGTTTGGCTAAGACAAAATTCTCACCCTCCGACACATTTTTCATCAACACACTAGCATCCTTCACATGCATCACTGTCTGATGTTCAGCTTCCATTCCTGAGATGGGCTTCCAATGTTCTCTTGATGGAAAACTAGGCAAATGATTATCAGCATGTCGGCTTCCTTGAATATTACAATCAGCAAGGATTTGAGATTGACTTTGAGCATTATCTTTTCTTTCTGGCACTGATTCATGCAGAACCATAGAGCCGGGAGCTGATCCCTTAGCAGCCTCATTATGAATGCCAATTCCAGTCCAGTTAATCATCTCAGGCTTCATCTGCTTGCTTATTCCCAGAACAGAGGAGGCTTGGTATGCAGTTCCAGCTTGTTGTCCATTTTCCAAATCATCCTTACGATTACTAACAGTTAAACCCCTTGCACTTAAAGATTCTAGCTGTGATCCCTTGGTTAGAAATGCCTGTGATTCTGATATTTCTCGAGCCAGTACTTCAGCCTCCCCTTTTCTTCTTGTAGATAAAAGATTCCTCCTTTCTTCTGCCTGTATATGCAGATCAGAAGGCAGGTGATTTTTGTCCCCCATTATGTTGGGGTCCTCAGATTCTCTTGAAAAGTTTGCCTCAGGAAGAAGTCCAGTAGATGACGGACGAGCTACTCTTTCAGTTTCCCTCACATTATTCAGTCTTCCAAACGGCATTGTATCTTCGGGAATATTATTTGGATCACTAATAGATAGCTCTTTTCCTTTATGGTCAATCAGTTCTTTTGGAGGTCCATCTGCAGTGCCATGTGTTATTCTTCAAGTAATGCAATGGTGGGAAACTTAAAATAGAATATCAAGTAGTAGTTACCTTCTTTTTGAAGAAAGTTTCCAAGTGCAATTTCTAGATGTAATTTTTTTGGTATCAAACCATTCCTGTATGTAGAAAACAATATATCTAGAATCAATCATTTTTACAATGTTTTTTTTAGTACGTACTCTATATTCAAAATAAATTAAAAGGCTGAAACAGAAGCTAAGAAAGTGCCATATACCTGAATGCCAAAAATACGAGGCACTGAGCTCTGAGCTGTTTTAGATGTTGTTCCTTGAAAGGCATGTTAGAAACACCAGGAGCCAGCGAAGTCGGAGATTTTCCTGTATCTCTGGGAGCTGCACTTCTAAGCATGTTCATTTCCATAATATTGCCTGGAATGCCACTCTGTTTACAAAAACATCATATGGCAAAAGCAAACAAATAAGGCTTCAAATATCAGACATATATAAGACTACAAAAACACAAACTAAGTATATGATCAATGCTTAATGAATTAAAACATAAAACCCCATTTAAATTAAAACAAGAGCATAATAAAACATCAACAATTAAAAAAAAAGGCCTGTAGAATAATAAAATCACTCACAAACATATCTTTGAATTAACTGTAGACTATGTTACACGGACTCGAGTATAGGCATCGGGTGCGGGTGCATATTTAGGGGCCGGACATTTCAAAATTAAAAATTGAAGATACATGGATATATATCCAAATTTAGATACGGGTACGGGGATACGTTAAATAATTTTTAAAAATATATATATATTTATTATATGAAGATGAGTTATATTACATAAATAACAAATAAAAATTATAAAAAATATTTTAGATATAAAATAAATTATATTATATATGATAAAATAAGTTATTTTTATTTTAGACATAAAAATTATATTATTTATGATATATTATATTTTTTATACATAGAAGTAACCCCTTGTGAATGAGTCTACCATTGTGTCTGAGTCCTTTCACGCTAATAATTCTCAAAGGTTAGGTGAATGACAATCAAGGAGGGGTCTTAAGTAATCATTTTGACAAGGGGGGCCAGGCTTTTAGAGAAGGGGAGAAGGAAACGGAAAAATGGCTAAAGGAGTTCAGCAAGTATTGCCCAATTGAGAATGAGGTGCCTTGTTTTATGCAATTACTTCAGGTTATGGGACTGTCACTAGTAAAAATTAAGGAGACTTTTGGGCCATTTAGGAAGATTAATAGGTTCATGAGGGAGAAAAGTGTTAGAAAGGAAGGAGAGAGTAGTAAAAAAGGGGCAAGGGAACTAAGGAATTTAGCAAGTTCAATTAATTATAAGAGGAGGCGAGAGGAAGATTATTAGTTGGAATGTAAGGGGGTTGGGTTCTTAGAGAAAAAGGGGTGTTATCAAGGATTTTCTAAGGAGCCATCAACCGGACATAGTTGTTTTTCATGAGTCTAAAATAGAAGTGTGTGATAGGAGGTTCATGAAAAGTCTTTGGGGAGTTAGATATAGGAGATGGGTTTGTATGCCTTCAGTTGGTAGATCGGGGGGAGGTTTGCTTATGTGGGATGAGAGAGTTGTTTGAGTGTGAAACTATAGTACGGAGTTTTCACTATCAATTAGAAAATTTGCCGTGTCCCCTGCCGTGTCCGTGTCCCTATTTTTTAGAAATTGCTGTGTCCCGTGTCCGTGTCCGTGTCCGTATGCGTGTCCGTGTTCGTGTCCGTGTCCGTGCTTCATAGATGGTCGTTGATAGGGGTTTATGAACCTAACAGGCCTTCTAGGAGAAAGAATTTTTAGGAGGAGCTCTATGGGTTATTTGGGTTGTGTTCCCCGAACTGGTGTTTAGAGGGGGATTTTAATGTGGTTAGGAAGGTCTCAGAAAAGCTCAATGGGATTAGAACTACTAGGGGTATGAGGGACTTTGATTTGTTTAAGAGAATATGAGTTGATGGATCCGCCTTTTGTGTAATACAAGACTTACATGGTCTAATCTTCAAGAGAATTTGGTGTGTTGTAGACTGGATAGATTTTTATATTCCTTGGGGTGGGAAGGGGTTTTTTCCAATTTAAGACAGGAATCGCTACCTAAATTAATTTCAGATCATTGTCCTATTGTGATAGAAAGTTGCTCATTAAAGTGGGGACCGATGCCTTTCAGATTCAAGAACATGTGGCTGGAGCATCCATCTTTTAAACAAAATTTTGAGGAGTGGTGGACCAATGCTAGTTGTCATGGATGGGAAGTTTTTAGATTTATGAGAAAGTTGAAGATGGTCAAAGAGAATGTGAAGTGTTGGTATAGGTGGGTTTTTGGGATTTTGGAGTTTTCAAAGGAGGTGAAGTGCAGAATAGAAGAGTTAGATGCCTTGGAGTCACACAGAGGTTTAGTTGAGTCATTTAGGAGGGAAAGATCTGAGTTGAGATTGAAATTGGAAGGGTTTGTTTTTAGGGAGCAAATTTCTTGAGCTAAAAAAGCAAAGGTCAAATAGTTGAAGAAAGGGGATGTTAATTCAAATTTTTTTCACAGGGTTGCAAATGGGAAAAGGAAGAAGAGGTTCATCAGGAGATTAAAAGTGAGCCCAAGGGTAGTGAAGGAAAAGGAGAATCAGATTGTCAGTGGAATTTATGATTTTTACTCTAAGCTTTATTTGAAGGAGGAGATGAATAGACTTGGAATTGTAGGACTTGAATGGGGACCCATTGATCAGGCAATTGCATCGTGGCTTGAAAGGCCTTTTGACAAAACGAAAATTTGAGAGGCAGTCTTCGATTGTGAGAGAGACAAAGCTCCAGGTCCAAATGGTCTTTCCATGGCCTTCTTTCAGGACTGTTGGGAGGTGGTGAAAGGGGATTTGTTGAGAATGTTTTCAGAATTTCATGAGTCGGGGGTTGTTAATTTGAGCTCAAATGCGACATTCCTCTGTTTAATTCCTAAGAAAGTGAATGCTGTAAGAATTGGAGATTTTAGGCTCATTAGTTTGGTAACATCACTTTATAAGATTTTGGGTAATGTTTTATCAAAAAACTTGAGGATTACTTTGGGGGAGGCTGTGTCTAGGGCGCAAGGGGCTTATGTTAAAGGAAGACAAATCTTAGATGTAGCCTTAGTGGCAAATGAAGTAGTGGAAGAATATAGAAGTTCAGGGAAGGAGGACCTTATTTTTAAGATAGATTTTGAGAAGCCATATGATCATGTGGATTGGCAGTTTTTGGATTTTGTAATGGACAAGAAGGGTTATGGTGGGTGGTGGAGATCTTGGATTGGGGGATGTTTGTCAACTTGCAATATGTCAGTTCTAGTTAATGGTAAACCAGGGATTGCTTCAGGGCCTCGCAAGGGTTTCGAAAATGGGATCTACTATCTCCTTTTCTTTTTATTTTGGTGACTGACGTACTAGAAAAGACGATTGAGAGACCTAGAGAAGCAGGTCTTTTTATGGGTTTGGAAGTGAAAAGTGAGTTAGTGTGACATATTTATAATATGCTAACGACACGAAATTTTTCTCTCCAGGGGATGAAAGTCAGATAGTTAATTTTTATTCGATTTTGAGACTTTTTGAGGTAATCTAGGACTTAAGGTTAATTTGGAGAAAAGTAATGTTGTGGGCATTAATATGCAACAAGATCAACTTCAGAATAGGGCGACACTTTTAGGATGTGGTATAGAGTCATTTATGTTTAAGTATTTGGGTCTACCATTTGAAATAATCTTAGATTGAAGCTTTTTGGAATCCGGTGGTGGAAAAGATTGGCAAGAGGTTGGAAGGGTGGAGTAAGGCTTTATTGACACGTGGCGGTAGATACACTTTGGTTAAGACTATTTTGAGTGGTATTCCTATTTACTTCTTATCTTTGTTCAAGATTTTGGTTAAGGTGGCAAGGCCACTAAAAACAGTTGATGAGGGATTTTTTTTGGGAAAGCAAGGATAAGGGGAGGAAGAATCACCTGGCGAATTGGGATTAGTTTCGTTACCTAAGGAGAAGGGGGTTTGGCTATCGGTAACATTTTAGCTAGGAACATGGCCCTTATTGGCAAGTGGTTATGAAGATTTTCACTTGAGACTGATTCACTATGGCATTCGATTATTAGAAACAAGTATGGGACTCAAGACAATGATAGGGATTCATGGGTGGTTCTGAAGCGTAACTGTCGTGCTCCTTGGAAATCAATTTCTCAAATCTTCACATGTTGGTCTCGTCATCTTTCTTTAAGGGTGGGCAACAGGGAACTTATTGGATTTTGGGAGGATGTTTGGATGGATCAATCTTCTTTTGCTGTTGATTTTCCACATCTCTATAGAGTGGCTTGATCTCATAATTCTTCTATTGCTTCCATGGCCTGTTTACTTTGGGCTCCAACTTCCTAGAATTTTGATTTTCCTAGGAATCTTAATGATAGGGAGGCTTCACAATTGAATTCTTTGTTGTTCAGAATTGATCATTTTTCTCTGTCTCCTCTATTAGAGGACAAAAGGGTTTGGGCCCTTCATTCATCCAGGATATTCTCTTGCAAGTCTTTGTTTGATAAAATCATCAATAATCCTCATGTTCCTCAGTTTCATTTTTGCAAAAGAATTTGGAAGGCTTGTACTCCTCTAAATGTGAAGGTGTTCATGTGGAACTTGGTTCACGAAGGCATTTTTGACAAATGATTCATTGTAGAAACGGAGACCTAATTGTTTTCTAAATCCTCAGTGGCATATTCTGTGCTGTAAGAATGGAGAATCCGTGGATCATTTATTTCTACATTGCCCAATTGCTTTGAATTTATGGCACAAATTTTTTTTTTTTTGGGGGGGGGGAGGGAGGAATGTTATGTGGG